CAAAAAACTTAAAAGACAGCTCAAAGCACGAAGAACTTCATCATGGCATCGTTTTACCATCGACATCAGCATCCATACATTGGCATTATGCAAAGGTTTATCGCGAAAGGCAGCCTTAAAAATTGACCGATGAAGTCAGTTGACGAAAAGTAGCCAATCACTGAAAATTGGAAAAGCAAGGGAACTCATCAAACAAAAGGCTGGTGGAGAACGTCCTAATCACTCCGTCGGCTGGGTCAAGAAAAGGTAGCAGCAAGACCATTGGGTTCAGAACGTCAAGGCAAGACTTCAGACTGTTCTCGTACAAGGTGAGGTTACACCAGAAGCTTTATGCAACCGATTATAACGAGCACGCGTGTTACAGTTCCTGGTTTCTTTGCCAGTGCAAATCTAGCCCAGCGTCAACCAGTAAGACTTGGTTCAGCAAAGAAGTGCACCGTCACTTAGACGCTACATTCAAACGGTCAAAATTTTGGTTTACCGACACTTCTACATTAATTTTGTGCGGCACCACTGCTTAGTGAGAAATGCACCGCCTGGTGCGCCATCAGCAGTTATGTCGAAGAGTTTCTGAAACTTGCAGCCGTTAATATGCGCCCGGATGGCCCGCTGGGTACCCTTCGTTCGGGTGGAGCGGGGTCAATTGACCCCGTTGGTATCTCAAGATCTACGAGAGCTAAAGACACCAACTTCACATGGTGTGTTGGCCTGTACGTGAACTCATATAGGTCAAAACTTGTGGTTCCTGGGTCATGACCTACGGGTCAAATAGGGCCAAACAAGGTTAAACTCCAGGTCGTCGTCCAAAGTGCCTTCAAAACCTAGATACCTACTCTAAGCAAAATATCACATGTCCATTAAATGTCAGTGACCTTCTTGGACCTTTCGAAGGTCACGGTCACCAAAATCGCACAAGGCAGTTGTGAGCTTTGCATTTGAAAAGTGCCGAGATTATGCTAGGGGGTATGTTCTTCAAAACAAAATGTTGACTCAGATCACTTTAGGTCAGTAACCTATTGTGACCTTAAGGAAGCCCATGGAAAATGCATATTGCGGTTCCTGTTATCAATGAATTCGAAATAAGAGCTAGAAACTACCCGAATACGGAAAGCTCTAGAACACAAAATCAGGCTGGTTTTCATTTTGATCCAACCTGAGCCTAGGCGAATGAAATTTTTCCATTCAATTATTGTGAAAAAGAAAAAAGGAAGTGAAAGAAAAAGAAAGTGACTGATAAATGTATGGCTACGTCTAACACCCCATTGTTACATCAGGCTGAACGATTCCCTAAAAATTGACTTCGCTGAATGCACGGCCTGACTTTGACCGTCGTAGGCTAGCGATATTACGAAGTATACTTGCATTTTTGATACCAAACAAACTGCTATTCAATATTCTCCAGCTGTGCAAAATTGGGAGTGGCTACGTCGCCCCATTCGGCGAGCGCAACCCAGCAGGTCCTCACGAAATGCGCTTACCTTGCCGCAGGCATCACAGACGATTCCTATTGCCAACGTTAAAGGAATGGCTAAAAATGCATTTGGAGCTAGAATTCCACAAATTTTGCGTTAATGTGAAGTCATTATTGCATTCAGCGGCAAGAACTTCCGTAACGTATTGCCAAAAAGTGGAAGAATAATCAAAGTCGTGGGCTTCCTAGCGTGCTGCACAATTTAGTAACCCACATTTTCTATCACAAATACAGAAATGCCGCAGCTGTGATGTTACATAAATGGGGCTTTAATGACAATCATCAAGGTACCTTCACCGGTTAGGTTCGGAACTCCGGAGAGCTGTGCGTGAGTTTAAAGGAAGGTAGGGCTAGTTGTAGCTGACATTGGTCTGAGGTTTTGCATTTAAGAGGACCATGAATTTTGCTGTAGAATGCATATGCCATAACGATTCAGACAGACAGAAGCTTATTTTAAATGCTACATATTTGTCCGTCTACAGCGGACCCAGAACTTCATAAACCGTAATCGCAGTGCGGTAAAAGGATGTGTCAGATGGTAATGGTTTTTAACCGAATGATACTCATCCAGATTTTTGCATGAACTGTGTTGATCAATCACACTGTTGGGAACTTAAGCGATATGCCTTCTAGTACTTGATTTGTGTTCTCGGCATTTTATCTTGTAGCTGCTTGTCTTTTCAGTTATGTGACCCTTACAGTAAGAGAGGATGTACAATTGCAGGTTGTAGGGATCCCACACTTATCCCCACGAGTGTTACCACTACAGGTCAGTGGGTTTGATGCCCTGGTGGCCTTTGGACCAATTTAATGGTACATACAGCCATATGGTAACAGCCAGAAATAAGCCAAGTAACATTTCAGGATTGGCTCCATTCAATAATGTGTGTTCTGCTACATCCATGCACATGCCTTCCTTTTTGTGTGGGCAAAGAAAAAATACTCCCTGCAAAATACCCCTTAGATTTTAAACAAATGCTCAGTTATATTTAGTGGGCATTATATTTGTGCCATTCAGCCGGTGTAGTTGTACTTTCCTACCTAACGTTAGACAAAATCATTGCACACCATTCGTCGTGTTTAAGGCGGCACATATCGTAAATAATCTCAAAACAGGTAGAATCATGCTCCTACCTTCGAATTTCAATAACTTTGATGGCGGGCTCCCGAGCGCCGCGCGCACCGCACCGCCTGAACTCCCCCAGCGCCGTTTCTGCGTTGCCGTTGCGTAAATACAATATTTCTGCTTACCAAGAACTCTACAAAATGTACGGGACCAAGGTAAACCATTCGTCGTGTTTAAGGCGGAACATATCGTAGATAATTTCAAAACAGATAGAATCATGCTCCTACCCTCGAATTTTAATAAATACGATAGCGAGCTCCCGAGCGCCGCACGCACCGCACCGCACCGCCTCGACTCCCAAGCGCCGTTTCTGCGTTGTTGCGAAAGCACAATATTTCTGCTTATCAAGAACCATAAAACATGTACGGGACCAAGGTAATAATAATAAAGCAACCAAAATAGTTTCTTATCGAGTTCAGGTACATTTATGAAACACGCAGGCCACAATAGTCCAGAACATATCCTAAACTAGCCTAACCTAACCTAACCTAACCTAACTTAACCTAACCTAACCTAACCTAACCTAACCTAACCTAACCTAACCTAACCTAACCTAACCTAACTGAGAATAGACCAGAACCTAAGCTAAGCTAAGCTAACCTGACCTAACCTAACCTAACCTAACCTAACCTAACCTAACCTAACCTAACCTAACCTAACCTAACCTAACCTAACCTGAAAATAGACCAGAACCTAAGCCTAGCTAAGCTAAGCTAACCTAACCTAACTAACCTAACCTAACCTAACCTAACCTAACCTAACCTAACCTAACCTAACCTAACCTAACCTAACCTAACCTCCCCACCCTATATCCCCTTCAACCCAGCCTTTACATTCCCCACCCAATCCCCCTGCAACCCATGGTCCCGTTGGCGTCGAGGATCAAATTTCATGGATTCTTGTTACCTTGGCCCGGTACATTTTTGTGGTTCTTGATGCTGCTTGATGCGCAGTAATGTTGTGACCCGCGCAGTAATGGCGCCGGTGTCGCGGGTGCTGCGTGTGTGCGGCGCTCGGGAGCTCGCCATCGTAGTTATAAAAAAATTGAAGGTAAGATCATGAATCTACCTGTTTTGTGATTTTTTACGATATGTCCTGCCTTAAACACGACGAATGGTTTACCTTGGTCCCGTACATTTTGTAGATTTCTTGGTAAGCAGAAATATTGTATTTACGCAACGTCAACGCAGAAACGGCGCTGGGGAGTTCAGGCGGTGCGGTGCGCGCGGCGCTCGGAAGCCTGCCATCGAAGTTATTGAAATTCGAAGGTAGGAGCATGATTCTACCTGTCTTGAGATTATTTACGATATGTCCTGCCTTAAATACGACGAATGGTGTACAATGATTTTTTCTAGCGTTAGGTAGGAAAGTTCACCCTGACCATTCAGCCTGCACATTAGATTCAGTGTTTGTGATGACAAATTAACTGCCCTCCCGCAGACCAAAAATTCTGGGCTCTGTTCTGGGCTTGTTGAGCTATTGCCTGTTTAACTAAAATTTTAAGGGACTTGCATGTAAGGTTAATTCCATGTCCTCTAGAGCTTAACAAAATCTGGCCTTTCAGAAAAAAACTGATGTCTCATGTAATGCCAGATGTAATGGTATGATAATGTTTGATGCAGCCTTCAGTAAATTTGCATTGATGCACTACCTGACAATTTCAGGCATTTAGTATTAATTGCCATTGACACCACAATTTAAAGCAAAGACTGATTAATATTATTGCATGCTATGCTACATAACATATACCAACAAAATGCTCTTTGTTCAGTTAAATGACTGGCATTGATCATTGTACTTTTGCCTCACAGGATAGAACTGACTATATTTACTCCTCATATATCAACCATGGGGTCTTATCTGTTTCAAGTGCCTGATGCATTCAGAGCAAATCTTCAAAAGGCTGCTGGCATGTCCAGGAATGTGCCAGCACTTGCTATGTTTCATAAAATACCTAATCAAGATGTTTATGTGACAGGCATGTGGAGTAATACTGGTGATTACAGAAAACACTCCCAAGCTCCTGGCCATTTTAGATAATGTCTAAAACAGTTGTATGGTATGATAATGCTAACTTACAAAGATAACATAAGGTTATCAAGTTACTTTGGTTGCCTGTTTTTTGCTGAAATGTCAATCTTTGTGAAACATGTACAACATATACATACATTGCACTTTATCATATATGTTCCTTGTTATGGGACTCATTGATGAAAAACTTCAATGTATTTGTGTCACACTTATTTTTACATCATGCATTAATGGACTGGTGCTGTTTTTTTATCAAAACAATGCTACATGGTGGGACAACATATTCATGAAATACACTGCAGCCATGCAGAGCACCTATGTTCAAGATATCACCCAATAAGATCTATGGATTGCCTTTCTTCCACCAGATCTGGGCTGGTCCAACCAGTGTCCATCATGAGGTGGGCCACAGTGTACCGGCGCCGCGCGCTGCAGCTGGCCGCCGCCGCAGGCCTGGCCGGCTGCGTGTATGCCTCGCTGCACGCCAACCAGTGGGACGTGCACGCCATCGGTCTGGTGCGGTTCGGCCGCGCCGCCGTCACGGTGAGGACGCGGCCGAGGGCCGGACCGGGGTCCTGGTGAGGACATGGGACAGTTCTGGGTGTCGAGGTGAGAATTTGTCGTGGGGTTGAGGCAGAATTTTAGTTCCTGTTCGCTTGGGGAGGTGGGCTTAACCCACCCCAACTCTGAAAAGAAAAAGGACCGAATCCGGGGAGAAGCCCGTTTGGTGGCGTGCTTCGGGAGAAGGTTATGCCATTTTCGGCTGCTCATCTCCCCCAAGTTATTCTGCGAAACTACGCCTCTGGTCAGGCTCAAAGTCATGGCCTGTCATTGTGAGGTGGGCTGGACATGGGTCAGTGCTGAGCCGCTGGTTGTGCTGGGATTAGTTTGATCTGGTAAATGATGCTTCCCATGGGCCATGTCACTGTTTACTCAAAGATAGAGCAATATGTTTTTTCGTTCCATGTTGCCTGCTGCCATGCATGTATAATGTGGTGTGCTGGGTGTGGTAGTGGCCATGCAACTTTCATCAAAGGGGACACCATGTTACTATTGCTGCGCTGAGGATGCCCACTCTGACAGGTTTGCAACACCATATTTTCTTAGCATTCTTCCACCCCTGCAAGCGACTGATAACTCACGAGTGCTAATACTAATGGAATGATGCCTGGTTAGCAATGCTAGTTATGCTACTAGGAAATGGCCTGTATTGCACATGTCAAATGTTTCCAGTGCAATGCATCATTAATATGATTAGAAACCTAGTAACAATGGAATTCCCAGCTTTTAAAATCAAGAGCCAACACCATCTCTTCTGTGCACCATCCCGAAACTAGAATATGGTGAGACGTTATAACCCAATTGCAGCTGTATTTAGGACTAGGGGGCGTTTTGCTTTGTTTCCATGCAGCGTTTGTCCAGCAGTCGGCGCGGCATGGTCCGAGTATTTCGAATCGTAGATACCATCGGTGACGCCATGGAATGCGGGTTTGTGGTTCCTCGCCCCCGCGTTGCGGCTCGACTCGTCCCCGCTCCTCGCTCTGAGCCCAGTGCCCGACTCCGACTTGTCGCAGGTGCCTCTGGCTGGTCTAACTGAGAGTAAGCTTTGCCGGCCGCCCGGCGTGTGCCGTGTGACACGTGTCGCCGTCCCCAGGTGGGCAGGATCAGCTGGGACTACCAGCGCACGCTGTACTGGAGCGGCGTACCGGCCACCTCCGCCGAGTACGCGCGGCTCAAGTCGGAGGTGCACACGCGCGGTGCGCAGCGCCTGCTCGAGCTGTGCTGCGCCAACCGCGGCTGCTTCGTCAAAGGTGCGCCCGGTACAGAGGCCGTGATGGTCTGCGGGGTGTTCCGTGGTGGACCCGGTGCTCTTGTGTGGTTGGGAAAGAGGCTTGTCTGAGCGCTCTTTGCGTGGCAACACCCCTCCCTCTTCACATGATGTTCACACGTGATGCCTCTGCGCCGTTGTGTGTGCGGCAGTCTGGATTTGTTGCCTATGAAAGCTTTCAGTCAGAGTCATGGAGAATGTTTTGACGTATTTCGTCATCACTCGTGCTTACAAGTGCCAAGGAACAAATAAGTCTGCCTGCCAGCCTACCATCAGTAACTCAGACATACCCTTCGCGTCCCACGACATTGGACCCAGTAGAATCGGTTATATGTAGTTCAAGTTCGTCCGTTATGGGTAGGATGATATATATATATATATATATATATATATATATATGTTAAAGTTATTACAAAATGGTTGTAGTCTGCAAGAGCAGCAAGATTGACAGCCACTGAAGTGGCAGCTGAGACCATGGTCTGCACCTGACAGTGACAGACCAGTAACCTGGAGCTGGCTTCGGCCGGCAGCTTCTGGCGGGCTCCTCGGTCTGACGTTGGTGCCTCGTGTCGGCAGTGGGCCAGCACCTAGGCGCACTCGACTACCTGATCCCTCCGGAGTACGTGCGCACGCTGCGCATCCTGCACTCGCGCGCGCCGCAGACGCCGCTGCCCGAGCTGCTGGCGCTGGTCCGGTCTGAGCTGGGCGTCGAGGTGAGTGGCCGGCGCAGGACGCCATTCGCTGTCCACCCGTCGGGGCGAGGGGCTCAGTTGCGATTCTCAGTTAGAAATTTGCATCACGAATCTTTGGGTGCATTACTGATTGGCGAATTACGTGGCTGCTCGTTCCGTACGCGACAGGGCGGCGTGGTTGGCTCAGAGCGGGCCGGTGCGGTCGCTGCGGCGTGCCGGTACCGTGGGCCGCGCTCTGTGTGACGCCGCCCCCGGTCGGCAGCCGTCAGAGCTGATCGCGGAGCTGGACCCAGAGCCGCTGGGCACGGCTTCGCTGGCTCAGGTGTACCGGGCCGTGCTCCGGGACGGCACCACGGTGGCGCTCAAGATCCAGCATCCCAAGGTGCTGGCCAACTCGTTCGTCGACATCAAGACCATGGAGGTAACCACAGCGGAAAGGTTACCGGCTGGTGAAGCGTCAAATACTTGTGGTGCTTCCTAGACCACCTGCTGTTGTAACTGTACCGCAACAGTTTTGTTTAGCGGGTAGCTGCATGCTTTCTTGGTGTTTTGAATCAGGCTTCCTTTGTTCACCCGGCGCTGTCACGCGACGTTCCTTTGCCTCAGGGGGTATGGGCGTTTTCCGGGACGTTGTCCCACGCCCCCTTACCATGGCGAAACGCTACCACCTTCAGGCTAGCGGTCATACGATTTTGTGCCTGTCATTGCTGCCATTGTGCCATGTCTTTTTGACCAGCGTCCCGAACCGCAACCGGCTGCAATGACGACGTGCTACTGTAGTATCGGGTCTTACGGCCGCGCCTGGTGGCTACGGTGAAGACCTGCTATGGTCCGAAGTCCCGTACCTCATCCGGTTGTCATGATGACCTACCACTGAGGTTTACGATATTGCACCGCGTCCGGTTGCCACAGTCACTAGTCGCTATTGTGCAAGCTGTCGTGCAACGTCCAGTTGCCATGATGACCTATCGCAACGGCCGTGAGTCTCGCGCTGCATCCGGTTGTCATGGTAACGTGCTGCCATGTTGCCGAGTGGCGTGGCACGCTCCGCCGCGCCCGGTGACGTCCACTGCCGTGTCGACAGGTGCTGGTGCAGCTGGTCTCCTGGGTGTTCCCCGACTTCCAGCTGATGTGGCTGGCCGAGGAGACGAAGAAGAACCTGCCCAACGAGCTCGATTTCAGCAAGGAGGCGGCGAACGCCGAGCGCGTGGCCGAGATGTTCAAGCACTTCCGCTGGCTCCGGGTACGACTGCTAACCAACGCACGAGCTTTTAGGGAATGACTTCGAGTTCCACAAATGTGGGCATACCTCTGCGTGTTTAAAGGCTTCGTCTCACGACAACCTCCTAAGATATGTATTTTTGCGTCCTTCCTACTCCGAGGATAAGAGAACCACTTGCCATTTGAAAAAGTAACTGTGCGCTGACCACTAAAGCAAGCTGCCGGAATACGAACACTTCTGTGTGGACCCTTCCGCGATCACCGACCTACTAAGTCTACTGCCGTGCTGCGACGGTGTCCTGTGTCCGGCCCTGTCCCCCACCTCCCCCGGGTTCGGTTCTGACACCGCTCCTGCGCTGGCCCCAGGTGCCGGCCGTGCGCTGGGACCTGACCACGCCGCGCGTGCTCACCATGGAGTACTGCGACGGCGGCCAGGTGAACGACCCCGACCACCTGCACCGCCACGGCATCTCGCCACGCGAGGTCTCGCAGAAGCTGGGCCGGCTCTACTCGGAGATGATCTTCGAGCGCGGGTGGGTGTCAGGCAACGCAGCGTTCGGGCGGGGTTGGGTGTCGGGCGATGCCACCCTCGGGCTGGGGTGGGTGTCCGGTGACGCTACCTTCTGGCTGGGGTGGGTGTCAGATGACGCTACCTTCTGGCTGGGGTAGGTGTCAGATGACGCTACCTTCTGGCTGGGGTAGGTGTCAGATGACGCTACCTTCCGGCTGGAGGGAGTGCTGCGTGACGCCACCCTCCGGCCGGAGTGGGTGTCAGGCAACACAGCATTCGGGCTTTAATAGATGTTGGGTGACGCCACCCTCGGACTGGGGTGGGTGTCGGATGACACCACCCTCAGACTGGAGTTGGGTGCCAGGCGACTGCGCCCTCGGGCCGCGATAGGTGTCGGGCGGCACGGCCCCTCTGACTTTGGTGTGACTGAAGTGTGGGCTGACATCAGTCAGGTCCGATGGACCGGATGGCCGGTTGATGTTGATCTGTACTCTATCGGTTAGCGAGCCAACTCACCAGGCTGTAGGTGTGGGACCTCGGACAGGGCTGTAGCGTTTTGTTGAGTAAGTGGAGACTACGGACATGACCTGCTAGCTCTCAGCGACCATGAACAGATGAACTGGTACTCGCCAGCCTGCTGCCTGCCTGGAAGCGCCGTTCTGTCTGTGAAAAGGCGCCCGTTTCTAAGACATGTCAAATTGTTGCCGTCTCCTCATCCCGAACATTTAATTTGCGACGCATTCTCAGCTACATTCACTGCGACCCACATCCGGGGAACCTGCTGGTGAGGAAGAAGGACGCCACTGTGGAGATCGTGCTGCTCGACCACGGCCTCTACACGGTGGGTGGAGCGCACTCCTCGGGAGCGGGGATGCTGCTCCCTGGGGGTGGTAACATCAGAGGTACTTAATCTACAGAATCATTGTTATTGTTAAAGAAGCGTTGTTGTTTCGCTCGAAATCGGTTGCCGTCCTTTAAGTCGTGGTCCCTGTTCACCAGTCGTGATAGAGGAGCCCACTCTGGAGTGCCATGATCCCGCGATGTCCCACACCGGCCGTGGTGTGGGGGCCGGTTGCTCTGCGCGCCGTCACCGCCGGCGTGGCGTCTGGGGCTGCTCTGGGCACCGTCACCGCCCGCCTGGCGTCAGGGAACTGCTCTGCGCGCCGTCACCGCCCACCTGGCGTGCCGACAGACGCTGCCGGACCGACTGCGCTGGGGCTACAGCCGGTTCTGGCTGTCGATCCTGTCCGGCGATGTGGCCAGCATGGAGCGAGAGGGCGCCGGTCTGGGCGTGGGGCCGCTGTACGGCCTGCTCGCCTGCATGGTGGCCGGCCGCTCCTGGCAGGCCATCACCAGCGGGCTGGACCGCCAGAAGCTCACCGACGCCGAGGTCAGCCGCCGACAGATGGCACTCACCACACCCTCTCGGCCCTGGCCGCTGTCACCGCCGGGCTGGCTAGGCGTGCCCGCGCCGACAGATGGCACTGACCACACCCTCTCGGCCCTGGCCGCTGTCACCGCCGGGCTGGCCAGCCGTGCCCGCGCCGACAGATGGCACTGACCACACCCTCTCGGCCCTGGCCGCTGTCACCGCCGGGCTGGCCAGCCGTGCCCGCGCCGACAGATGGCACTCACCACACGCTCTCGGCCCTGGCCGCTGTCACCGGTGGGCTGGGCAGACGTGAATGTAGCAGATGGCTAACGTGATCTGCTCTTGATGATATCTGCATCATATGGTACAATTTCGATATCGTACCTTACCGCGGCTACACAGTGGCTATCCCTGAGAGCCGTTGTCGATGGCAGCACGAGGCACTGGTGACGCTGTCACGCCGGCCGAGTTCGGTGCGGTGCTCACATTCGGTGCGCGTGTGCGCGTGTGTCGCAGGAGGGCACGATCAAGGAGGAGGTGGGCCGCTACCTGCCTGAGATCGCATCCGTGCTGAACAAGGTGCCGCGCGAACTGCTGCTCATCTTCAAGACCAACGACCTGCTGCGGGGCATCGAGTACAGTCTGGGCACCAAGGGCAGGTACGCAGGCTGTAGGGTACAGCCTGGGCACTAGGGGCAGGTACGCAAGGTGCCGGATACAGTCTGGGCACCAAGGGCAGGTACGCAGGCTGTTAGGTACAGCCTGGACACCAGGGGCAGGTACGCAGGCTGTAGGGTACGGCCCGGTCACCAAGGACTGGTACGCAGGCGGTCAGGTACAGTCTGGGCACCAAGGGCAGGTACGCAGGCGGTAGGGTACAGCCTGGACACCAGGGGCAGGTACGCAGGCTGTTGGGCACGGCCCGGTCACCAAGGACAGGTACGCAGGCGGTCAGGTACAGTTTGGGCACTAAGGGCAGGTACGCAGGCTGTCAGGTGATGGCGTAATCGGGTGTGTCGCGCCCTCTCGCCGGCCGCAGTCCGAACTGCGTGGGGCAGCCCCAGAAGTCTCGCCGGTCTGTCAGCAGACCGCTGCACGGGTAGGAGCGTCGCGCGAGAGTGATCATTTCCTTCACCCTGTTACGGCACCGCTGGTACACGCGGCACGCCTCTGTGGTACGGCGGCGCCCCCAGGTCTCGCGGGCTTAGTCGCGGTCCTCCGCAGCTGCGGAGACTTCGGTATCTCCGCACAGCCATGGACAGCCGGGCGGGCGTGACGTCACGGCGATGGTCAAGCGGTGAGCGGCGACTGCGACGCTCCACACTTCCATAAATGCGGCCACCTCTTCATCAGCGGTGCTAGCGGCGCAGAGCAACTCCCAATGGGCGAGCAGCAGACTCAGGTTGAACGCGTCCCAGTCGACGCGTTTGCACGGTCGCGCGGTGGTGGTGACTCACCGCCGGCGCTCTCTGGGGACGGGAGCACGGAGTAGCACCGGTTGGTGGTCCGCCACAGGCTCGGGGAGAACCTCAGCTGAGTCCCGGAAACCGGTCACGTTGGTGACGATCAGGTCTGGCAGTGTTGGTGTCAATTGGAGGTGGGTGGGCTTGGTGACCAGCTGTTCGAGATTCATGTCTCTCAGGGTGGTCGGAAAACCGCGTACACCGGGGCCATTCGGGATGAGAAGATGTATGTTGAAGCATCACAGTGCGAATACGGGTTTTCTTGTGGCGACGGCGGCCTGTAGTTGGTCTCGAACGTTCTCCATCCATGGGGACGTTGGTCCCCCGACGGTCGGTAGATGGCACCGATCACCACGGTGCGGCGGCCTAGGCCGCTCACCGAGAGCCACAGGGATTCCACCATGGGATCGGTACCGCCTATGTCGATTTTCGATGCGCGGAGAGTCCGCGACGAGTATTGCGACCCCACCCTCGCGCGGCTGGGTCTGCTGGGCAGCTGCCGGCTTGGCGGTCATGGCGGCACCGCGGTCATGCCGCAGTGTGTTGAAACCCGGGAATATCAGCACCCTGTCGAGCACCTCAGCCTTCAGCCACGTCTCCGACACACACAGGATGTTCATGTGATGTTTCTGCAGAAGCTGGTTGGCTTCGTCCAGTCGGCGTGCCAGCGACCGGACAATTGTATGACCAGTATTGTAGTGGTGACGACTGGCGGGCTCAGCCGCGCCCGCCGCGGCCTCATACCCTCGGTAAGTCTGCGGCACGGTTCGCCTGGCGGGGTACAGCAGCGTCTGTGGCCGGTGTACTACATCAGCAGCGCGAGCAGGGCGGCACCGGTCGGTCCCGCACACGACCCGAATCGGCCGGCGGGGTGCGCAGGCTGTCGGGTACAGTCAGGGTACAAGGGCAACTACGTAGGCAGTCGGGTACAGTCAGGGTACAAAGGCAGGTACGCAGGCTGTCGGGTACAGCCCGGACACCAAGGACAGGTACGGAGGCATTCGGGTGCAGTCTGGGCACCAAGGACAGCTACGCAGGCTGTCTGGTACAGTCTTTACATCTAGGCAGGAGCGCATGTTATCGAGTATGCCGTCAAAGTCTGTTCTCCATCGTAGCATGATGTCACATGCTGTTCATCCTCGCAGCATGACGGCACAGGTTGCTCTCCCTTCGGAACATGACGTCACCGGCTGTTCTTCCTTCACGACATGACATCACAGGCTGCTCCCCCCTCGCATCATGACGTCACGGGCTGTTCTTCTCTCGCAACATGACGTCACAGTCTGTTTTCCCCTTGCAGCATGACGTCGCTCATCACCATGTCCGAGTGCTGCGTGCGCTCTGTGTACGGCGAGCGGTATGAGCAGTGCAGCAGCGTGGCCGGCCGCGCCGCTCTGCTGGCCGGCAAGCACTGGACGCTGCTCAAGATCAAGCTGTACGAGGTGAGGCCGCTGGCCGCCCGGTCCGACAACGGCGGTGGTCCGGCGACCCTCGCCGCTCGGCCAGTCGCATGATTCACATGATCACGATTCACGTTAAGACGGCTTGCTACTGGTTCAATTACTTGTGTGTTCCTTGCGAATGCTGGGGAAGTTCGTGGAGCTGGCGGTGTGTCATTGTGGCGCGATTTCGTCACGATGCAAGAATGCGGTGTTGTGACGACTCGGATGTGCTAGAACTGGTGATGCCAATATGTCGCGATAATCTGATTTTGACACTTCGCGATCTTTGCTGACAGTAAGAACGATTGCATGCTATACATTTAGAATTACCACGATAATCCGTAATGGAGTCCTCGTGGTAGGTCGTAATGCCACATTCCTTGCGATGATGCATCACATATATTTTCTATGGTTTGTCCATGCGTGCGAAGGGATCGTAAATGAACATTTCTTGACCGGCGGGGGCGCCGACATTGCTCTCACCGAGCATCCGCCGGCAGCATGTTCGGTGTCGACCCACGGCCACCGCTCATCCCATCCGCAGGTGTACCTGCGACTCTTCCACTCGCCGCTGGGCCGGCGGCTGGTGGCGCTGCTCGCCAGCTGGCGGGGCAACAAGCCGACCCGACACCAGCCGGCCGTGCTACCGACCGCCTGACCCTCACCCCTGCCTGACCCCCGGGCGCCTGACCCCCGGACACCGCCTGACCCCCGACCCTTGCCTGACCACTGGCCGCCGCCTGACGCCCGGCCCCCGCCCGACCCCCGTCTGCCTGACCCCGGCCGGTCTCCAGCTGTCTCAGCTGTACTGGTGACCGCCTGACCCCGGCCAGTCTCCAGCTGTCTCAGCTGTACTGCTGACCGCCTGACCCCGGCCAGCCTCCAGCTGCCTCAGCTGTACTGGTGACCGCCTGACCCCGGCTGGTCTCCAGCTGTCTCAGCTGTACTGGTGACCGCCTGACCCCGGCCAGTCTCCAGCTGTCTCAGCTGTACTGCTGACCGCCTGACCCCGGCCAGTCTCCAGCTGTCTCAGCTGTACTGCTGACCGCCTGACCCCGGCCGGTCTCCAGCTGTCTCAGCTGTACTGGTGACCGCCTGACCCCGGCCAGTCTCCAGCTGTCTCAGCTGTACTGGTGACCGCCTGACCCCGGCCAGTCTCCAGCTGTCTCCGCTGTACTGGTGACCGCCTGACCCCGGCCAGTCTCCAGCCATCCCGACGGTGGCGGCTAAACGGCCAGGATGGAGCCCCGTGCTGCTCAGAACAGGCCTGACCGAGGCCGGGGACCGGCGACTAGTGAGGCTGCGATCCAGGCTCCGCGGCCGGGGCCCGCTAAACCTCCTCCGAGCCGCGCTGGACTCACAGTGTACCACTACGGATGAACTCAGGGATTCGAGGAGAGGTGTCAAGTGTTAGCGCAATCAAACGGAACCCGTCTTGCGCCATGCCTCCGATATAGCGCAATCAAACGGAACACGTCTTGCGCCGTGCCTCCGACATATTACAGCGACCTACTAGGCAAGCGTGTTTATGACGGATCGACGTCTTGTTTCAACTTGACTCGCTGTCAGTACTGTTACCAAACAATTTAGCTTAGGTGAAGCTTTAGCACGTAGCTTTGGCTCGTGCAGCTGCCATTGGCAGGGGACTACTCCGTTTAGATCATGGCAGGAGCGTGAGAAGTGATGTGTTTGTGGCCCTTCCAGCGCCGATTCCTGAGACTGTTTGAACAGCTTTACGATGTAATGCTCTGAACTGGAGGCGCGACATTGAGGTGCCTATTGCCGGTGTTCGGGTGATGTCAGTGTGTTGCTGCCCCGTGAAGCATCTCAGGAAGTGTGCACTTGCTCAACAGGAATGACATTTCTAGTTTATATTAAATCACGGGAGACATGCAAACAGGCGTGTCCGTTGCGGTCTGTTTGTCAGTGATCGTTCGTGATGACGGGTGTTATGCCGGTCTACGCATGAATTATGAACATGAAATGGTGGTTGTAGGCAGTGATCGTGCGATCTTTACCATAGCGGCTAAGCTCTAGGCCGTTTGTTGTTAATGCCGTTGGCACCGGTTGGCCGTTGGATGTTCGCTAAGATACGTGTTGTTAATCAGCGCCGAAGTGCAAAGGCAGCAAGTCCATGCGTGGACACAAGTTTAGCATCGTTACGAGCATCTCATGACTTGAATACACGACGAATGGCGAATGCCTATCTCTATATTCGTAGCTTATGGCCAGACGAAGGCTCTGCTGCACAGTTACGGTGCGGGCGGAACCTCCGCTGTGATTGTCAGATCTCTGTCCTTCAGTTGCTCTCGTGAAGTGCACAGTTCTGGTACGGGCGGATCCTCCGCTGTGATTGTCAGATCTCTGTCCTCCAGTTGCTCTCGTGAAGTGCACAGTTCCGGTACGGGCGGAACCTCCGCTGTGATTGTCAGATCTCTGCCCTCCAGCTGCTCTCGTGAACTACACAGTTCCGGTGCGGACGGAACCTCCGCTGTGATTACAAGATCTCTGTCCTCTCGTCGCTCTCGTGAACTGCACACTTCCCGTGCGGGCAGAACCCCGCTGTGATTGCCAGATATCTGTCCTCTCGTCGCTCTCGTGAACTACACAGTCCCAGTGCGGGCGGAACCTCCACTGTGATTGCCAGTTCTCTGGCCTCCCGTCGCTCTCGTGAACCGCGCAGTCCCAGTGGTCAGGTCCCCGAAGTCCGCCGAGCTGAATAATTATCGCGCAGGATGCCTCGGCCGCAGGGTTATGGCCCAATAGTCCGATCCAGATGTTTGTCTTTGAAACACTGCACTGCATTCCGAAGCGGCCGTGGGACATACAGCACATGGTCTACATACACATATAATTACACGCCTCTACATCTCAGTCATACACAACATGAGTCCGTGTCAGCATGATCTACACATCACAGAGCGCACATGTAACTGCGTTCTGACGCAGCTACTGCTACGTTTGATTGGGCGGCGAAGCCACGGCGGTGTCTTATCTATAATCTGTGTGCTGGCGGCGTTGCTCAGACTTCCACACGCTCTGCGTCACACGCCCTTGTTATACACCGCTTACAGAGACCTTGTCAGGTCGCTGTGCAGCACATGCGTCATAGCTGTTGGTGCTAGGATCACTGGGTCGATAAACCATCTAGGGATACTTGATCACAGTGCAGATTGCGTATCCCTGCAAGTGCGTGATACCCTCCCGCTGCTCCCGGGGGTAAAACACTGCTGATTAAACACTGCAGGAAGCTAACTTAAAGAACATGGCTTCCGTCCCAACATCGTCCCTCGTCGTATAGATAAGGTACCATTGCCGGTGAAAGAGAATGATATCACATTATTCAGCTCTGAAGATATACAGTGAGGCCATACCCCTCCCCACCTATGGAGATCATGCGCACCTATGGAGCTCACACCAGTTGGTGCGTGTTGGCACGCCGCTCGTCTCCAGTGCCGCGAAGCAGTCTTAATGTGCTGTGTCAATTTCAATCATATGAAAAAATTACAGGGATAAAGGTAATATTTACACACACACACACACATATATATATATATTATATATATATATATATATATATATATATAGGCATGTACTATATAAACATACATACAATCTACATGTACACACACACACATATATATATATATATATATATATATATATATATATATATATATATGTATATATATATAATGTACGTGCATGTGATGTTAAAAAATAGCAACAAAGTTGAAAAAAAGATTACACGAGTGCCCTCCCCACCCGCCGCGGCGCATCGAACCACACTTACACGCCCAAATACGGAACGGGATGTTGCAAAGCCACCGTACTCTGGTAAGAAATATGAAAGTCGCCAACAAAGAGGCAAGGATAACGCAGAAGTATAGTTCTTTCCAGGTTAGTGGTAAGGAGCTACGACACATAAGAATACCTTAAAAGTGGAGGAAATGAAAGTATTTGGTACCAGGTATGGCTAATGGCGGGTCGCTCATGTTACTCTCCATGTCAATCTAATGCTACAAAACTACATGGGGTTAATATAGCTACCTAGCGTAAGGCCAATCAGTGGGTCAAATCAGCGCACACCAGGGCAAATCTGACGCGGTCACGTGCGCGGATTTCGCAAGGTTACGATTACGATCCCGGTTACACAGTATTTCACAATAGCAGAGGAGGCACAACCAGAGTTTCACTGAAAACTAAATTTAGCGCGCGGCGGTGGCGCGCAATATTACGCGTATCGTATAGAACGCCGCCTGTTCTTGATTGGATCTTTACGTGTCTTCATAGCATTTTGAGTCATCAATAATTTCGTCTCATAGATGTTAACTAAATGTTATCAATGTGGTAAAATGGGAGGACACGTGCCCCTAGAGGTTGTGTGCGTACGCCGCTCTCCGCCGGTCCACAGGGGTGCCGTTGTTGTAATGAGAGTTGGAGCATAGTTAACGTGCAATTTTAAGAGTTGCTTCGGATGCCACAAATGCATGCACATGCGCATACATGCATGCCGCCCCTCCCCCTTCACACACTCACACTTAAATGACGGCATTTTTACGTTTAATTTTTGTGCTTTTTTGGTTTGTCGATTTTTTGTCCGTTTGTGATTCTACGCTTTATTTTGGCTCAGCTTCCTTCTGGTGGCGGGCAGTTGCGGCGCCCCGTATGCTCCACTCGTAGGGGACCGCTGCTCGTGGGCTGAACACAGACCAACAATAGCTGATGTATATTTACAACGCGGCACTGCTGACGTTCGGCGAATTTTTCCTCGTTGGGAGGAACGGGTGCTCGGGGTCGGGGCACTTGATCTGATCGGAGCTGTTTCGGCCCTGCTCCACTTTCTCCGCAAGCGGGGTCAGCATGCTGTTCCACAGCATCTTGGCCAGGTACTCGTGACCCCAGACGCTCGGGTGGAAACAGTCGACGGCGAGGAAGGCCGGGTCGACCACGCCGCGCCGCGTCGGGATCGCCCCATGCACGGTGAACGGCTGCTCAACCACCGTGAAGTCGTCGCGCGTGTCGTAGCGGCCCGTCTCCAGCAGACGGAGCGCAGCCCGCTGGTACTGGCGCACCAGGGCGCGTACCTCGTCCTGCCGCCGGCCGCCGGCCAGACATGGACACAGAACCGCCAGCGCTGCCTGGCAGAACGGGTCACGCTTCACACGCTGCAGCTGACTCATGTCCACCACCGGCACCAGGTTGACGAAGGCGCGCGGCAGCTGGCTGTGCAACAGGTCCAGCGCCGAGCGCAGCGCCCTCACGTGACTCTGTGCCGAGGAGCTGGCGCTGCCGGCACGCCAGCACTGGCGGCAGATGTTGTTGCCGCCGATCATGACCGTCACTAGCTTCCAGTCGCGCTTGAAGTCGACGTCGGGATGGTCGCGGAGCTGGCGCAGCAGCGCGGCTGCCTGGCGAACCAAGCTGTCGTGCTCTGCGCCTGGCACGGCCAGATTGAAGCCGGCCGCGTCGGCGCCGGCCGCCGCGCCGCGCAGGCCCGGCGCGAAGCGGCGCAGGATGTTAGGCAGCGTGAGCGAGCCGGTCGCGCCGCCGCCGCTCCAGGCGTGGCCTCGGTAGGCGCGGCCGACGTCCGCCATCAGCCAGGACCGGGCGCCGCTGCCGGCCGACAGGCTGTCGCCGATGGCGGCCACCACAGCCAGGTCGCCCGGCCGCAGCCGGTGCACGCTGGCGGCCGGCCGCGCCGGGTCGGCGTGCCCGGCCGCGCAGGCCGGCAGCGGGCTGACCCCGGACGGCGACAGCTCGGCC